CTTAGCAAAACAACTGAAGATCTACGTATTTAAGAACGTGAAATTCTTGCGTTTCAATCATTTGTTTCTATGAAGAGGAAGAGAATAATATTTTTTCCGTGACATATGTATATATCCTCAGATTTATTGCTTCAGCACTAATCCGAACACTTAGGCCAGTGTATAATGCATTGTTGTTGGCTTGTGCAGTTTCAACATTACTTTTTAAGCGGGACTTTCTAGATGGCGCCGTTCTTTCTGCCTGTCGCTGATTTTTGGCATACCAACGATGATTCTCATGCTGCTTGGCCACTGGATCAAAGTGGGTCTGCTTCATGAACAGCATATGTTTTACGAAACCTCTTACTACAACTTCTTGCTGTTTCTGCTATGCACTCCAGTTCAGGTTTGTTAGTTTATTTAATTTATTTCTGTTCTGTTGTTCATCAAGGAGTACCTGGGATACTTCAGCCAAAAAGGATTATTTGAATTATACACTGTCAGGATTCTTCATAAAGCATATAACATCACAGGCTGTTCGAACACTCAAGTGTGTCAAATAACGAATGCCTCCATCAAGACTAGATTTCACGGCATACTGATTGCCTCTTGCTCTCAGTTGCTTAGATGAGCGATTAAGTATGTTATAACTCAATGGCACTCGAGCACCTACATTGCCAAAAGCATTCAATACATCATCGAACACACGAACAGAGGTTTTTATGATGATATGATATTTACGCCTTGGATATATTATGTTGATGTTATGATATTTGTGCGCAACATGTGATGTACAGCTCCCGAAACACAGTTCTGGTGAGCGCCACGTGCCTCTAGTGGGCAGAATGATGTGCTGATAGATCTCAAGGTGCAATAAGCCTTAAGACCAGGTCTTGGAGGAGCCATCCTATGAAGATAAGAATAAAACACAAATGCGTGCATAACTGTTTGTTCAGTTCTTGTCCATCCTGTGTACGGTTAACATTTCAGCTCCTTTTTCTCGATCCGCGCTCTGAGACAAAATATTTTGCGTTTCCAACTATGACTCTGAGTTCAAATATTTTGATTTTCTTTTTGATGGACTGGCAGGGACCAGGATTATTAGTGTAAAGGCACTTGTGAAGCTCCTTTTGAGAAGCAAACATCTGTAGTAATAAAATAATAAATCTCTGTTGTTAATAATTATCTTGTTTGACATAGAGTTTACACCTTCATTTACCTCTCATTTCTGAATTCAATCGTACCTCAGAGTCCGTTTTTGCAAAGACTCCACACAACGTGATGTTCCTATTTGACCTCACATGTATACCGTGAGCGTCTAACAACTCTCCTGTCCAATTATGCGTCGTCATAACAAAATTTCTTTAACGATGTTAGACGTTCTGCCAGCTCTGACATGCCAGTGTTTAACATATCACCTATACTATTTTCTACCTACTTTGTAAAACCCATGGAACGTTTGGAAAAATTGACTACCTATTTTCTTATCGGTAAAACTGTTTTCTCTTACAGATTTTTGGTGGTCGTCACTTTTACTACAAATCGTACAAGATTCTGAAGGCTGGTGCATTGGATATGAACGTCTTAATAGCTCTTTCGACAACGATCGCCTATGTTTACTCGATTGCCCTCCTCGTAAGCATGGAGGTGTTTATGTGGGAAGTTTGTCCCATGACGTTTTTCGATGTACCCGTCATGTTGCTGATGTTCGTCTCGCTGGGCAAATGGCTAGAAAATATTGCAAAAGTTTGCTGCCGCTTTGTCTACGTTGTTTCTACTTTACGAACATTTTAGCAAAATACTGCAGAAGCTCTCACGAAGTTAATGTCGCTAAAAGTCAAAGAATCGGTGTTGGTATCATTGGGCGAAAAAAATCAGATTTTGAAGGAATGTGTTATCAACACAGACCTTGTTCAAGCAGGCGATGTGTTAAAGGTACGCAATCTACGCCAAATAATATGAAAAACTGAAATAGATTGATTTATGATGTTTGCTGAGTTTCATCTTGATCACCCATCTTCCATACTGCATCTCCTTTCCGGCCGTGGAGGCAGACGCGTCGGGCAGAGTTTCTAACGTTCCCGATTCTGTGCCAGAGTCTGAGCTTCGTCAGAAGACAACTGGAGTCTGCAATCGACTCCTTCCATATATTTGCACCAGGTTACTCTTGGCCATCCCCTGGGCCTTCGGCCGGTCGGATTTGCAAGGAACAGTTGCTTAGCCTTCCTTTCTGGAGGCATTCGCAACACATGCCCAAG